TTTTTTTTGATGTTCAGCTGGATTTAATTTAAATCCATAGCTAAATCCTTCTAATAATATGCTACCAGACACCGTCTAAGATTGTGCTTAGATACTAGAAATTTAATTGAAAACAAATAAGAAAATTAAAAGCAGAAATCAATCATCGACTATAAATCTGCAATCACTCAATAACTTCATAAGATTCCTCTTGTTTTATCTTTCAATTTCTTGCAGTCCAAAAGAATCATAAATACATTCAGCAAACTCAATCCTCAAATTCCAAGCAGCACCCTCATAACACAACGAAATAATAAAGGATTTATTTCATAATTTCTCAATAACAAAAAGTCAAGAAATCTTGCCTTCAAACCAATATTTAAACCCCAAAAATAAAATAAATGAATTTTGTGGGTTATCTTTTCAAAATCTGGCCAGCACAGTTACTGCAAGACCTTGTCACCAAATTTAATACATGGTCGTTTTCATGGTGCAGGAGTCCACCAAAGTTCACAGAAATCATTCTACCAGAGAGTGCATTCACAGAAACTGCTTTAATTTTCCATTCCAAGCTGAGCAGCTTCTTCTCCTTCCTCCAAGATGTAGCAATGGGAAAAAACCTCAGATTGTTCTTCATGGTATATCTCCTTATTTGAATGTATTAACTATTTATACATTAAGTGCTGGTTGATTTCTCTCTTTTTTTTTGCATTTAAAATTACAATTAATTATATTAATATTTACTCCTTATTCTGACAAAATGATTGAGGTTGTAGTTTCCGACCGTCAGATCACGAATTTGAATCGTGCTTATATATAGATTTCAACACAAAATTGTTTTTTTCACTGTTTGGTTCCAAGTAAAATTGGTGAATCAGTTGCAGGTTGATTCACATTGTATTTCAAATGCAGCATAACACAAAACATCTTTAGTTTTATCAAACGAAATTATTGATCCAAAATGCCATTATAACACTCACTTTCTATCATTCAGGCAATCGTTTCTCTTTGGATAATATCAATCATAGGAAGCAGCTGCAGTTCCTTGAGCCTATTATATTTTGGTAAGACAGATTACTGCACGAAATAGATTATGAGTCTTTTTCATCTTCTTTATCTTCTTCTTTTTGATCCTTTTAGGTTATCTCTGCATTCAGATACTACCAGTTCTATATGAAAATTATGAAGAAGAAGCAAATCATTTTGCGTTGAAGGGAAGCAAATACCTGAGGAAAATCTACCGGAAATTTGACTCCAAAGTCCTCAGCAAAATCCCAAGAGGTCCGGTAAAGGTTAAGAAACAATTATGAATGTTCCAGCATATAAATGTGAAGTTGTTTCAGCTTTCATATAGCTGTATTGGAATAATGTAAGAGTAATAATGCAAATAAAAATGTTGAAAATGAAGTTTGTGTATATCTGTTTAATTTTCAACTTGTGGTGATCGGCAAGCAAAAGCTTTCGAGAAAAAAAAAAA